AAGTTAAATAAACAAGAGAGACATCCAGTACAGTTCATGGGATGAGTGGGGGAAACTGGCATTTCAGCAAAAACACACAAACCAGTGGGCCCACGTGTACACACCCACCCCAACTAATGCTTATCCAGAGCCTCCTCACCACTGGCACTTTCACTTGGGTTTTCTAAGTTACTACCCCAGGACAGGGAACTCTAACAGGCAGGAAGACCATCAGAAGAGCAGCAAGCACCAACATTCCTCATCTGAGTAAATGGTTTCTCTTAAGAGTTACTTTCAGCTTAGTGGCTTTATCTCATAGTTTTATATCGCAACTTTTTATCACAATTTTTTTGTGTATGATTTGAAATTAAAAAAAAAAAAAGCTACTGCCTGGCACAGTAGCTAGTGGCTAAAGTCCTCACCTTGCTCGCGCCAGGATCCCATATGGGTGCTGGTTCTATTTCCAGCAGTCCTGCTTCCCATCTCCCTGCTTGAGGCCTGGGAAAGCAGTCGAAGATGGCCCAAGGCCCTGGGACCCTACACTCTTGTGGTAGACCTGAAGGAGGTCCCTGGCTCCTGGCTTCGGACAGGTACAGCTCCAGCCTTTGCAGCCACTTGGGCAGTGACTCATCAGGCAAATGATCTTCCTCTCTGTCTCTCCTCCTCTCTGTATATCTGCCTTTCCATTAAAAATAAAATAAATCTTTAAAAAAAAAAAAGTAATCCAATCTTTCTGCAATCCAGGTGATTATGAAATGTTATTATCAAGCTATCATTCAGACAAGGCAAAGAAATGTCTTCTATACATAATGGTGTATTCCAGAAGAAGTTTTCTGAAGAATTCAAAGGTCCAAAAGAAGGGTGTCTGTTGCAGTCTCAACACTCCACTTTGCAGAATGAGGTTCATGGAACTTCTGAACACATATACTCAAGGCTTGCTGGAATTGCCGTTGTTCAGGCTGCCTTCTGCATGCAGGGCAACAGAGGACCTGCCCAAGCACAGGTCATGACCCCTCATTAATCAGTAAGGATAATCCTACGTACCTCTTCTAGTGTGAACACCAGAGTGACAACAGAAAATATCATCATTTACCTGGTCCCATTACTGCTGTATAATAAACACCTCTATTAAGCTTTTGATGACTCCACACATAATACTGATTTTTACTTTTTTCCATTTGCATTTTAATTTAAAGACTATGTTGACTTCATTTTTATAATGCTGTGTGCTTATGTCTTTAAAGTCTTAACAACTTGCTATCCCAGAGTGTGAAAGGTATGTGTGTGTGTGTGTGTGTGTGTGTGTGTGTGTGGAGGGGTGTCTCTTTTAATATTTAATTTTCTATCGTGTTCAGTGACTGGAAAATATCTCACAGCTTTTTCATTTATTACTTTGCTTGGGTTTATTTTTTTTCCAGACTCTGTGAAATTATCCATTTGAAATCACATTACTAACATACCCAAAAATTCTTATTTTAATTATAAAAGCAAATGTAACCCATGATTATAAGAAAACTGTTTTTGCAAATCAACCATTGTTTATTTCAGAATATAATCAAGTACCACAGACTAGATTAAAAGCTCAAGGGTAAAGATTTTTTTTTTTTTGCGATCGAAAATAATAAAGGTAATCAAACCTTCCTGCCAATCTAGGTGATTATGAAATTTAATTACCAGCAGTTATCATTAAAACGAAGGCAAAGCAATTTCTTTTGCACATAATTGAATATTCCAGAAGAAAATTTCTAAAGAGTTCTCAGAAAATATATTTTTAAATTAATTTTGACCTGATTATTTCATTTGTTATGTCTCAGTTGGTAGCACAGAATAAATGACACACTTGGGTGATGTAGTTAAACAACAGCAAGTGAGAACCTATTTTCAGGAAAATCAGATAACTTTGAGCATAACACTGAGTCAATTATTAGATCCTGACTCTGCGAACACAGCCAAAGCTCAGCCTCCCATGGCTATTCCTCAAAGGAAGCCCATGCGGGGTCCGCCTCTGCACACACTGGATGCTGCACAATCCACTGTCCCTGTAGGCGTGTGCCACGGCCCCAGTGCATCCCATGGATTCCACAGGTGTGCCAGCCACAGAGCAGTTGTGCCTGACGCTGTCCTTGAGGCGGCAAGCACAGCTATCCACAAGCGGTCCCCACACTCCTTCAGCTTTCTGGAAAATTCCTATTCAATCCTCAAGGCCCAACGCATAGGTCACCTCCATTGAACCCTGTTTCTGCTTGACTTTCATCCCTCGTATGCTCCTCCACAGAGTTCCTCTGATCAGACCAGAAGACAGACTGCCACCTGCTTGTCTGTCTCAGCTGCTACCAGATAAGGGAAAGGCTCTCTTGGGTCACATTTCTAACTCCAAAAACACAGATCTCTGACTGAATTGGAAGATGCTCAGTAGATGCGTAATGAGCCTGGAACTCAACGTCTGCACTCACCTGGAGGGAAGCAGCACGTGTTACCTGTGCTGGGCTTGCTCCAGTACCTGAAGCCTCAACCCCTTTGTGCCTTTCCCAAAGAGGTTCAGTGGATTTGCAACAAGCCCTTAGGATCTGTGCTCAATGTTCTGCACACATTATCTCCTTCATCCCCAGCAATGCTTTTGTGAAGTAGGTCCTATGTTACTGTTAGCTTCATTTACGCATGAGTAGAGTCAGGCTGCAAAAAGTTAGCAACTCATCCCAAGGCATTCCCCTGGTCAGCGGTGTAGTCATAATTCAAAGACAATAACTCCAGAGGTCTAAGGAAACCCCCAAGATCCTCCTCAATTCCCCTCCTTAAAGCTACAGTGCACAGGTTGCTACCTGGCACACAGTAGGTCTTCGACAGCAGTAACTGATGCACACAGTGTCCTAATTTCTCAGACTCTGGCCTGGGAGAGTCCAGCTGCCACCACAAAGAGCCTTTCTTCTTCCCTGCCCAACACCTTTCACAGGTGTGAATTGCTTCTATCTTCTGAATTATTCATGATCCACACAATGGTAACAATGGTTGCTTAAGCAGAGAACCGCAATTCCATGGTTTTAGCAGACAGAGTGCCTGACAGAATAGGTGAATTAGGGAGTGGGAGTCGGTGCACCCCCACATCACACATCCACTTTCTGAATTTCAGCTTTCATGTCATCTCCCAGTTGCCTGGGACCAAAACAGGTACAGCAAAAACAGGTGAGCATGTCTCTCCTACCTGCAAAGCAATGACCATCCTCTAAGTCATAGCCGTTCTGCCCCTTCCAACCAGCCTATCCCTCCCAAAGCTAAGTTAGGGTTTCAATCAGGTTGATTCAAGATGAGAACAATAATGTGCCCAATAAAATCAGACCGCGCCTGTCCCTTTTCCCTTCATCTGTGCTTTTGCCACCCCGCCACCAGTTCATTCTCTCGCGGGCAGTTTCTGGGGGAGGGAAGGCCACGTGCCAACAGCCACTAGCATCACTGTATTTTACATTCGATGTTAGTCAACCAAAATGAATTGAAAAACAGCAACCGTGGTTTGGGGGAGTACTAAAAATAAGCCGTAGCATTTGCTGAGTTCTCAGAATTAAAACCACAGGCGGCCAACTTGTTGCTGCACTTAATAAGATAGGCCTGCTCGGCCCCATGGGCTGCTACTTCCAGAACCGAGCTAGGCTGCAAACCTAACAGCCCCCTGTTTCTGATGAGCTGGCGGTCCCCCTGGAGAAAGGAAGTGACATTTCCCTAAAAGGACACCTGCCAAAGAGATAACAGATGGCTTTCAAGCCATCACCTGGAGCCACATCACAATTGCACCTTAGCCAAATTCACCCTGCATTTATGGTTTAATTAGGTATGTATCTATAGACAGAGTTCCTTTTATACCAGGCTGGCTGTCCCATGCCTCCCAAAATGTGTTGGAGTTTAATGGGGGGGGGGGGACAATAATACAAAAATGCTTCCTACTATATTAATACATCAAACATATCCTGGAGTACTGCGGACCTCCCACACCCTGCAGTAGTGGATCCTACACCACTAGCCTCAAGGCTGGCTATCCAAGTTCTCAATGACCAAGACAAGGGAGTAGGCTGAGCGCATCATTCTGACCCGAAACCTGTCATACTCTGAAATCCACCCCAGCAGCTGCATCTGCCGGTTCCTATTCCCTCAGCGCCATCAGCAAATGTTTTTTTTTTTTTTCCTCCAGTGAGACCCACTGATCAACCATGGAAAAGCTGATAGAAGCTTTCCCTTTGCTTAGCCACACTGAAGATGGGGGGAAATGTAAGCCTTCAAAGTAAAATTAGAAGAGTATTACAAGAAAATGTCCATGGAAAGGAGAGTCAGTCTCTCTCTCTCTCTCTCTCTCTCTCTCTCTCTCTCTCTCACACACACACACACACACACACACACACACACACACACACGCCTCCTAAGGCAGCCAAGAATCGGAAGCTGGGCTCGACCTCACTACCCCTAACCCACTTCCACCAGGACCAGGATACAATCCTTTCCCGCTGCCGCGATCTCAGTCAGACCTTTGCCCCAAGCGAGGGGTCCCCACAGAGCTAATTTCTGAAACAAACAAAGAAAAGCCAGTCTGTGAGGAGCCAGGGGTTTCCGTCGCTCGGCTTGGGATTTGGGTACCCAGGGTGGTAAGCGCCGCGCCGCCAACAGGTCGGGGAGACCCGCTTCACCCCGTCCTGGCCCGTGCCTCCTGCCCCCAGCTCCAAGTGCGAGGCTGCCCGGCTCCCTCCCCGGCCAGCCTGCTGCGCCCGAACCCGGCTCGCTCAGCACCCGCACACGGAGGGCGCCACTGCCTCCCACCCCCCAGCGCTGTCAGCTGTGGGCGCCAAGATGCGGTGGGCACCCAGGGGCTCGAGGGCAACCGAGCCAGTGTTTCCCGTAAGCCAGTCAGCCCCGCTGTGGAGAGTGGCCAACCTCTCAGCCGGCAGGCCACAGGTAGCGAGGTGTGCGCCAGGGGCGCAGGGGATGAGGGCAAGGGGGCGCGCCCCGCCGCGGCCGCCGCGCCCGCTGGGACTACAACTCACCGGAGGACACCGAAGAACCGGACAGGCTGGAGTTGCTGGACGCTGCCATCTCGGGCGCCCCGCGCGACGCTGCTCCCTCAGCCGCGCTGCAGGCGCTGCCGCCGCTGCCCTGGGCCGGCCGCTCGCAGCCTCCGCGGCCCCCAGCCCATGGCAAAGTGCTGGGGACGCGCAGAAAGCACGAGCCTCCGGACTCTGCCTGCACTTCCTGCTCCACCAGATGACGCGCTGCTGCCGCCGCTATTTATTTGTGGTTTCCGTCCCTCTCCGCGCCTTTGCGCGCTTTTCTCAGGGGGTCGGACGGAGAGAGGGGGGAAGTCGCGAGTCCGAGGCACCCGTGGCGGGGGTGGCCGGCTGGCCAGCCGGACGGACGGACGGGCGGACCGGAGGAACGAGGCTCGGGCCGATTCCCCGTAGCCGTCGCCGCCGCCCGGCGCGCGGCTAGGACTCGGCGCGCCGGCGACCCCGAGCCGCCCCGCCAAGACCCCGAGCCCCCTCAACCGGACTCCCGCCTTCGCGACCGCACTTGGAACGGCGCGGGCACCGGCGGCGGGAGACCAGACAACACGACCTCCCTCTTCTCCCTCCGCCTCAACTCGGCTCGGGCGCACACAAAGGAAGGAGCCGAGCCGCGGGCGCTCGGGGGCTGCTTCAGCTGCCGCGGGCTTGACAGCTCCGGCGACCCGGGCTGGCAAGGCGGGGGCGGGGGAGGCTGGAGGCAGGAGCGGCTCCTGAGGTGCCGGGAAGGCCGCCGGGGGCGCTGCTCCCGGGGTCTGGAAGGCGAACGGGGCGGGGGAAATGATGGGGTGAGCCCGAGAGGTAGTGGGGTTCGGCGACCCGCAGGGCGAGGGCGGGATCACCCTGGACACCGCGCTGGGCAAGGGGACTCAGAGGTGGCTGTAGTAGTGCGTGCCTTCCACAGCCCTCTAACTTGTCCTTTGTTGCCCTGGAGCTAGTGACCTCTGCCCTGCTCCCCCAAAACACCTAGGAAATCCCTCCAGCTGAAGTGTCCAAATCACGGATTACGCTCGGCGGGGCCGCGAGGCTTCTGAGACCGCCTTCACAGGCACGGGCTTTCCAAATGGGCCAGCAGAGGCCCGCACAAAAGCCAAGATCAAAGAGAAAGAGGTTCTCTGTCCGCGCCCAGCACGAGTGTCTCACAAAAGCCCCAAGACTGGCAGCAGGTCTGACTGTACCCTTTCAGTGTAAGGAACTTGCTTAGGTAGGGGTGTGTGTGAGCGCGCGCACGCTCCAGTGTGGTAGGTGCGTAAGAGAGAGAAAAACAGCACAAGGTGGGCAGTTTCCCCCTGTATTTAAACCTAAATTAATTTCACTGGGAGGAAATATCGTACAGCCTTTTTTTTTAAGTCTATTTCACGCTCCCAGCAGGATAATCGGTCCTTTCAATCCTGAAGCAACAGAAAAACTGTGAAATTTGAACAGAAATGGTTAGATCAAAGGAAAAATGCAAACATTAAAGAAATGAAAGTACCCTCATTATATAGCAAAATGAAAGTGTTCACGTTGGGGTAGCTCAATTTTTAAAAACATGGGTAAAAGGACACAGTCCATTTACAAATGAGCAGGAGTGACTGGGGAACCACAGCAAGGTCCCAGGGGGTCCACGTTGAGCAGGCACCTAACACAGGGTGAATAATAAATGTGAAGTAATCGCCACGCACACTCCCACTCCGTGTCATGTTCTCTGAGCTGTTGTCAAGGGGGGTAATTCCCTCCTGGTTGCCAACGTGTCCTCCAGGTCAGGCCTGCTCCTTAAATCGTAGCTGGCTGCAAGGCTCAGTGCTGGACCGCACCTGGCTTCCTGACAGCCACCTGCTTGGTTCTTGAACAGAACTGCTGGTCACTCCCTCCACCAACTTCTGGGCAAGATCAACTTAAAAGATGTAGTCTCTAGTTTGTGGATTTGTGTTGTATGCCTTGCATCTGAATAGAATTATGCAGCTGTGACTTGTTCTAACCAGGAGAAATACCTCATCTTTGCCCTAACGTATTTATCTTTCCTGTCCCGAACGGGGAGGCTAGGTTACAAGTTTCGTTATTCAACTCTGAAGTCAGCTTCCACTTCTGTGGTTCAGATGAACTTGGACTACTTCAAGAAAGCTAGGCCTGGCCCTGTCAAGTAGGTTATTTGGTTAGTCCAAATTGACAAACAGGAGGCAGGTGTCTGACTTAGTAGGTAAGATCCTGGTTAAGACACTAACCTCCCATAATCAGAGAACTGGAGTTTATACTTGGTGCCTATTCTTGGAGTTCATACTTGGTGCCAGCCTCCTCCAGCTTCCTGCCAACGCCTACCTTGGAGGGCAGCAGTTAATGGCTCAAATAGTTCTGTTCTTGCTACCCATGTGGGACACTTGGACTTGGTTCCCAGCTCCTGGCTGTAGCCTGGCCCAGCCCTAGTTGTTACAAGCATTTGGGCAGACTAAACCAGTAGATGGTTTCCTCTTCCTCCCTCTCATATAATTAAAAAAGGCATTTGCTGTGAAGGTGCCACTGTGAGCTGCACAACTACAGGAAAGAGATGGGAACTCGTCTTTTTTTTTTTTTTTTCAGAAGGCAGCTACAAGGTCTGCAAACATGCTTGTTGGCCAGGGAGGGGGTGACACAGCAGGCCCAGTCTGTCAAGCCCCTATTTTGAAGAAAACAGGGAAAACTCGAAGCCTGAAAGTTGGTTGATCATTTGCATGGTTCAAGCAGGCTGGGTTGTTCATTGGCATTTTCCCAAGATTGAAAAGCCTCGCTAGGCTGGCAGCTCCTTCCACAAGTGTCTCCCTCCCATGGATCAACAGGCAGAGACTGCACAGAACGCTCACCCCCCTACCCACCTGCCGGTTCCTATTTATGGACCGGCCTGAAGTGTTTCTCCAAATGAAACGGTGGGAAAATCATTCTTACTCACTCACATACAGTATTAATTCTAGGTGATGCCCCTTGACCAGTGGAAAACAGAATACTGGTGCTACAAAGATCTCAGATCTGCTTGAAATCTAACCTAGTCCAAGGCTAGACAAGTTTTGTTCACTATTTCTACCTTCTTTCTTCAAACAGTAAAAAATAATATGGGATTAAAGGACACTCTCTAAGGCTTTTGTCTAGCTGTGATTACAAATCACCATTTTGTTTTAGACTGCTCTCCTTTCCTTTCCATTCTCCTCTTTGCAAAAGCGACCCTCTCTCATCCGGGGGGCCCCATGGAGCTGACAGCACTGGCTCCTGCCAAGAGCCTCCGTACTGCCCATCCTACCTGTTACACAGATTCAACCAGAAGGCATCTGCTTCAGTGATTCTGCTCCGATTCCCATCTTCTGTTGCCTTTCTTAGCTGCCAGATCTCAGGGGCTAGCTGATCTTCATATTCATCTGGATACACATTACATTTTATCTCCCAGATCCATTAAAAGGTTCCTAGGGCAGCAGCCTTGTCTGGCCAGCCCTAGTATTCTCTGCTATGCATTGCACACAGTTAAGTGCTCAGGAGCTATTTGCTGAAGAAATGGACAAGCTAAGGCACTAAGTGGTTCCTATGCATGCCAGTGACTTGTCATCCAAGCAGCAGTGACCCCTGAGCGGTTAGCTGGTGAGTGACGCATCTGGGAGGTGATGGACAAGTGAGGACATTGCTGTGAGCAGGAAAACAGTGGGGATTTGAAGGAGCGGGTGTTTGCTGTTCCTGCCCCAGCCTCTCCCATGGTCAGCTGTGGCAACTCTCCTAATTTGCCTGGGTAGCTCTTACTTTACTGCCATTGACTTGTTCTATTCTGTGTCCTCAACGTTGAAAAGTAAACCAGGAAAGAACACGAGTTGGAGCTGCACTTCCTCATTTCAGGTACTCTGGGTTGTTTCCTGCTGAAGGTCATTCTTGCCTCCCTGTGCGAAACTCAAGATGAAATATTCCTCACTTTCAAGATTAATCCACTGGCCGACATTCACCGGAGAAGGGCAAGGGCTATTCGTCAACTACCTTTAAATATTTTATGGCCAAGACTACTGTACTCTGAAAAGCAGCGCTTTGCTGTCCATTTCTCAACATCAGTATATTCTGTCTTAGTGAGATACAGCTCCCTTGTAGCCCCAACCCAATTTCAGATACAAAGATTCCTGGTCCTGTGAGCGAGCCCGCTCTGGATCTTCAGAAGTCACATGAGATGAACTCGCAACGGACACTGAGACCCACGCGGGGTCCCCTTCCGTGCGCAGGCACCCCAGGGTGACCTTGATCAGGAGTGGCTTGGACTCCCGCAGGTAGAGCATCCCTGACTGGGAACAAAGAGTCCATACCTGGGGTGTAGACAAAGGGAGGCAGCTTCAGCTACCCAATTCCCAGTTCCCATCGCCGGCTGCTGGGGACCCCTAGTGGTGACACACGCTGCCGGCACAGGCGCACCTGCCTCTGCCATAGCAGCAGAGTGTTCCGGGATGTGGCCTTGAAAGTGCTGTTTAGAGTCTTCACTTGGGAGAATCAGACACACACACACACACACACACACACACACACACACACACGCTTAGGTCAAGCTGTGAGCTACAATTCTTCAATAATAGAGTAAGTGAGGGGAGGAGAGAGAAGGGTTGATTCTTGAGAAAAAGCATCAAGTGGAGAATGCCATTGAATTTGCTTTCCTCTGCCCATTGTATCTTATGGTGGTGTTGCCCAGCACCGCAGATCACAAGCCCCTTTCCTACCCCATGTCCTGAGAGAATTCCAGGCTGAACTGAAGAAAGCCCAAAGCCTGCTCTGGTCAAAAAGCATGGAGACTCTGCTTTCACGTCTTCTAGGGGCTGTGTGTGGCTTCACACACTGCGTAGTTGCGTTCATAGAGGCGTGTGATGGGCTTCTTGTCTGCTGTGAGTTTCTTCGTGTGCTTTCTAACTCATGCAGGAGTGTCTAGTCCATATTCATCATCCATAAGAGAGTATGGTAGGACCTGAGGCTAACCTCAAGGAGTACAGGTCCCCGAGGACCCTGGGTGAGGGACGCGAGGGTGGGGCTCTCTTACGTGTGTTGCCCTCTGCTCCTCTCTGGAACATTTGTCTCTCATCTTGGACAGAGTTTCCATGATAGAGTTTGAATTACTGATGGGCAAGTACAGGATTATCCACCCAAGGGATGACTTTCTTTTCAGCAGCTGGATTTTGTTTGTCTGTTTAAGTCTCCAAAACTAAGCCTCAAAGATGACTCTTGCATAATTGGGGCTTTCTCATCCTTGCTT